TTCAGCGAACATGAGCGAGCTTATAACACCATATCGAAAATAAATATACAAGATGTCCTGTAACTGGTGGTACCAGCGAGTAGGGAGTGATTCGACGTGAAAAATTGAATCGAAAATGCAGAATAAAATTTTTTCGAAAAAAATAAGTTTGAATATTTGTCGAGTACGCATGCACTTAGACCAGCTTTAGCTCGTCAGATTTCAATATAAATCTCGTTCCTAAACGTTGTCGATAAATCGATGAACAAATTTTCAGAATTCGTTTAATTTATGAACTGTTGAAAGCGATGTCCACGTTGGTACAAACAGAACTATGCCCACCTTCGTAAATTGCATTTAACGTTTCCAAATGTGTCGTCGTGCAATTTTAATAATTCAAAAGGTATAATAATTTTTTGTTTTACTTGTTTAACGCTTGTCAAGACATCACTGTCACAAATAAAAATCTAAAGGTAATGAGTCCGCAGATCGTGGGGGCCAAGGTATTTTGCCATCGCAGCCAATCCAGCAGTGATAATTTTCATTTAAATGGCATTTTACTTCTCTACTATACTGTGGTGGTACTGCATCTTGCTGAAAAATTCAATTTCTTCAAATTATAAGAGGAAAATTAGTCCATTAGTTGAATTATAAAAGAAAGAGTAAGATAATAAAATTCGTTGAACTTAAGCTAAATAAAGTACACGGGAACTTGACAAATTTTCAAACTTATTTTTTTCGAAAATAAAGTGTCGTATGAAAAAATTTTATTCTACATTTTCGATTCAATTTTTCGCGAAGAATCACCCCTAATCGCTTGTACTACCAGTTACGGGACACCCTGTGCATATTTAGTATCAAGAATCCATTTCTATTGTTCTATGTTCATTCTATTTATGTAGTGGAGTCTCCTTTATACGAAACTCCAATCTGTTACTTGATCTCTTCAATTTATTACAGACTCTGCCTCTGCACTTGAAAGCTACAATATTTTTTCTTCACGAAAACTATTACATAGGGAAAAACAATTAAATTCACAAAGAAATAGAAATGTATGTACAGAAAAAGCTAACATGCATTGTGAACATTTTTTAATGCATTCTTCTAACATTATAATAATCAGTATTACATTATCAAGTGTTTTATGTCGTAGATTAACACGTTGTATCCTTCTTATAATATAAGTAAATGAATTTATCTAAACAAATGCTATCTTAATATGGAGACAAATTTGTAAGATTCCATTAAAAAAAAAAACGCTAATGACCTTGAAATCTCGAAAAATCTGACTATGAAATAATCTTTTTTTCTCTATGATAGTATGTTCTCCTCCAACCAAACATTTTCCTCTTGTGACATGTCTTTGCAACATTGAAAGCAACATTATCAACATTTTAAGTACAAATTTTAGATGATTCATCATGTATATACACATATAGAATGTGTACATTTCTATTTCAACAATTTTAGAAAGAAATTCAACATATTTATGTACATAAGTCAAACTGGCTTACTAGGTAGTTCTACATAGTCTACTTGTCTATTTGTAAATTTCTTTCAATTTTAAAAGTTCAGTAAATTTAATAATTTCTATTCACGAGAAATGTTCTTTGCACCAGAGAAATGTCGAAAAATAAAATAATCGAGCAGAGAAAATAGACAATACTTCAAGTGGCCTTATTATGCAGCACCTGTCGAAGATGATGGACGAAAACTACTCGGGTAAGTGCATTTGGGACGCATAGTGCATTCGCGTTGTAAGCTCTACTTAGGCTCCACGGGAAGAAAAGCTCCGCGGAAAGGGATGGGACTTGTCGAAAAATTGTAGGAACTTTTTCAGAGCTTGTCGAAGGCCTTTCGTACTCGCCACAAAGTTCGTTCGCTATCCCAGCCGAGCGAGGAAAACGCGCTGGGGCGGGCAGACGCTTCCAGAAACAGTAATTTTTCTCTCCAGAGCGTTCCGTGCTCTGCCCCAACTCGGCTACACACGTTGAGAGGGACTTAAGTGCGGTAGGGGTGGTAGGCCCGCAAGAGTGGAAGTATGACAAATTGAAACGGCCATCGACACAAGCGATCTCCAATCATATCGGCTGGTATAAGCCGTCCTTCAATTTCTCTTTCGAGTGTGAAAACTGGGGGTACGAACTGAGAGCTGTTATCCATGCTTTAACTTAAAGGAATGATAGCTGTGCACCCAGCATTCTGCAATGGATGTTCTATTATGTTAGGCGAATCACCTAAGATGCGCAGCTGGAATGGTTGATAAACTATACGTTGTACGAAGAATTGCTATACGGGGTGGGCCAAGTAAGTGTGGCAAGTCAGAATTCCCTTATCAGTGTATTTAGGGACAAATGTCAAAGGGAAAAGATGGTTCAAAGATCACTGTATTTGTAAGACAATACTTTTTTACATGTGCAATCGATAGGTTCTTTGTTTTTTTGAATGAAAATGCGTATCTATCTTGCATAGTTTGAATCCTTTCGTTATTTTACGTAAGAAAGTATCATTCGAATGACATGACGTGAATAAATTTTTGCATCGTCTCTTCCAGAATATATTAAATAGACGTATCCTATACAAGTATCATTATTTTACTATTTATTCTAAGCGTTTATAAGACATTTTCCGTAAGTTTTTATAGAAATTGAATACCCCATGAACGTGAAAATGTCATTCCTCGTCTTTGACTAATTCTTTTTGTAATTCTTTTGGGGAAACAATGTAACCAATTCTGCCTCGTTATGCATTCGACAAGGAGTATCGAACACACTCCACATAATGAAGTTTTCCTCAACGCCAACGAACCGTGTTGACTGCGTGCGTTCTTTCATGATATTACAGCTTTCGCGTCAAGTGACATGTATAATAACGAGAAATGGATTGTTTTGCACGTGAAAAACACCACGCGGAACAAATGCCGCGAAACAGGATTTATTGTAATAACAATTTCCATGCGGGTAGAAAGCACTTTGGCGCGTTCGCCTCTACACAGAAGGTTAATTCAATTAAAAGTATGAAACGAAACACAAGTGACCGACGCGCATGTCTGAAGTGATTAAAAACACGTTTGATTAATACCGAACAATTCGATCGATGCAACCCTCTTTTGTGTTGCAGCATCGTTTCGCATCAGGGTATTGCATTAACATAACAATTATCACCGCACCCGCTTCGAACAAATAACAACCTTATGTTACTTTCCACGATTATTTCACCGCGCTGCCAATTTCAGCGTTAATTAATTGAAATACGTTAAAGCTCGATTCTTTCCCTGTTCGAATATCAAATAATTTTGAACTCAGAGCTTTCGTTGGATATAATTAATTATCAATATTGAATGATCAGCGATTATATCATATTGTTATTACGGATTGCAATCTTGGGAAATTGCCGGAGTAACGATTGTTTGTCTCTGTGGCAAAATTGGTATTCACAATCAGGAAATCGGAAAGCTTCGCACAATATCTGGCCATAGACAGATTAACTCATTCACTGCCAATTATGAAATGTCTCGTAATTCAAATTGATTGCAATTACGATGATATTTGATAAGGATAAGTTTATAGCCTTTTAAGTCACTAATTATTGTAAAAGAAGATAGTACAATTTTTTTTTAAAACAATAAATTTAATATCACTTTTTATAATCAAAATAATAACCTAGATTACACATCTGCATTAAAACTTGGCGCCCAAGAGAACATGCTTTAAATTTGCCTAGCAGTGACCGGGTTACACAAATATATAAACAAACGCTATGGAAAGACTGCTTTTATTCATAGTAAAAAGTGAAAGACTGTATTCAAATACAAAATTCTACTTACTACTCGTGACTAATGTATTCTTGTACAAAAAGCATGCGCACTCTGTGCTTTAAATTTTAGTCTTTCACTTTTTACTATGAATAAAAGCATTCTTTCCATAGTTTTTGTTTATATATTTGTTTGACCAAGTTACTGCTAGGCAAATTTAAAGCATGTTCCCTTGGGCGCCAAGTTTTAATACAGATGTGTAATCTAGGTTATTATTTTGATTATAAAAAGTGATATTAAGATTATTGTTTTAAAAAAAATTGTACAATCTTCTTTTACAATAATTAGTGACGAAGTTTCACAAAAATTGGATGAAAACTCCCATATTTATGACGTTTTGAAGAAGTGTCCCGAGTTTTCTGAAGGCGAGTGTAGTTTAGTCTTACAATTTTTTAAATCAAATTCTACCGTTTATGTACTTTTGATATGTATTTAGTGTTGCATGCAGTTTTTCCGGTTAAAGTCGAGCAGTCTAGTTCTTCTAAAATATTTTTCATGTTCAAGCTAACAGATTCGAATGGGCCTATCAAATGTAGCTAATATTTTTTATTTTGTTAGAGATGCTGAGGCTGTGCCAAGGTTTCATCTATGTTTTAAATTGGATCATGGTATTTTTTTGGCTCGTCATGACTGCTGATGTGAAACGACCTCATTAGCCTGTATTACAAGGTTATTTATTTTAAAATAATACCTTAAATTGGAGTCTGGAGTCAGTAGACTTCTTCCTGCTTGCCTTCTTCTATCCTTGTTCGAGAGATCGGTGAGCTACGTTCAATCTACTAATTTCAAACTCAAATTCAAGACTTTATATTAAAATTAATGACTTTGTATTATAAGTCAATGAGCTCGTTTCAACATTAGCATTCATGACATGCAAAAAAAATCTTATTGTTTCATTAAAAAAAATACTGGTTATCTTGATACAATCTCAACACCTCTACTACTAATACAAAAAAATAGTAGCTTCGTTTTAAAATCACTTTTTGAATCTTCGAATTTTTAACTGATAGATTCTTTTGCATCGACGATAGTTTGGATATCATTTTTTCTGTAACTGGTTAAATGCTGTATCCTCTATACCTTATACCTTATATATCCATTTGTATAATTTTCATCAATCAATGCATCTTACGATCGTTACAACATTTTTATTTAAATGCAGAATTGTTTGCAATAAAATATTTAGGAATATAAAAATTTTACTCACGCTGTGCCGTTATGTCGCCCAATCGCGATCAGTCGATGGATTTGTACCTCGACTCGTTGGCCCGTGTCTGGGACGAACCTATACGTACACCTGGATGGCCCTTCAAGAGGTGGCGACTTTATTTGCCCGAAGCCACGATCCGATTTGCTGAACAACTGCTTGCTGTCCAGCGTTATATTGCACACTGAAACAGAGAAAGGAGAACCAATGAATCTACCGTGCACCTGGAACGCTGAACAGTTTGTCCAGGCAAGAGAGAAATCCGTTAACCACGTTGTCTCAGGGATTAAGAATCGCGCTGTTCGCTGCTGTTCGTTTTCGATCGATTCGATTGCACAGCTGACAGTGATACACTGTTTGCAGTGCTACTTCAATTATCCACTGCAGATTCTCTATAATAGCGCCGCAATTTCTAGCCGCAATTGGTTCTAACATGTTCATTCAATTAGATTTCGTATCACGTTTGGGATAGCTACTTGAACGCCAGAAGTATTGTACAGTAACTTCTTTACCATTAGTAGACTTGAATTGAAAGTCAAATTTGACTGGAGTTGAATTTTGACTTGAATTTAAAATTCAAATTATATAATAGAGGTTAATTATGTTTCACTACCTTTGTGCGAATCCTCGGTTAAAGGACTATTGATTATGCTATTCATTATGCTTTCGAAGCACTCCAATCCTTTAAATACATACTGGGTGTCCTCAATTTAAATGTTTAAAATTTGGGAGGGTATAGGGCACCGAAAAACTAATAAAAGAAAACGTTAGGTGGTTTGCTCGTTTATGCTCCATTTACGAGAAAATCGTGAAAAAAGAAACAAACAAGTTTTTGTCTTTCCTTTCATTTCTTTACATTTACATATACTGTTATCACTTATTCATTGTAAACACTGTTCAAAATGATGACCTCTTGCTGCAATGATTCACTATACGTCACAGTATTAATATTGTTATATCCTATTGAAATATCCATGTATAAGTTGAAAAGAATCTACGATATTGTTAAATCAATATCATTAAATTAAGTATAGTTATTCATATACAAATTAAAGTAATATAGAATATGATTATTAATCTAAATAGAATAATGTATACATAGTTTGAAGTTAGTATCTATTGTAGAATAGTATTGAATCAAATGAAATTCTTCCTAGAAATGTAATCAATTTATAAAATATAATAATACAATTTTAATGATGCATAATATTGATTAATTCATTTATACACTTTCATGTTATTATTCTACTGATCATACTAACATTACTATTCTACTAATGGTCTAAGCAAAATTAACATGTATTTATAACTGCGTTGGAAATTCAATATTTCAGAAATGTTTCGTAGGTAGATTAATACCTAGGAGTATGTCTTGTTGTTTTTATACAAATATCTATATAGAAAAAAAATAATTTTTGGGAAAAAAAAATATAACCGACTTCGAAAAAATATTAAAATGGCACTAAAAATTTATATTAAATGATATTCAATAATATATTAAATTTCTATTTCCTTTATATGTATTTTATATATGCATTTTTAATTTTGTGCCGACTACGAAAAGGTTATTTAACATAATTTCATATAAAGGAAATAGAAATTTAATATATTATTGAATATCATTTAATATAAATGAAATAGAAATTGTTTCATACTTTTTAGTGTAATTTTAATATTTTTTCGAAGTGGAGTGCGATTTGAAAAAATTTTTCCTTACCGAAAATGGTATTCGAGGCTTCGTTAAGGAGATATTCCAGAAACAGAAACTAGCGCTCTGATTGGTCGTGGGTTTTTGTCAATATCTCCTTAACGAAGCCTCGAACAACATTTTCCCTATGAAAAAATTGTTTCAAATCTCTCCTCCCCCCGAAACACCCCATTCAAGGACATCCAACATTTTTGGGACACCCTGTATAGTTGCAAATGGGATTATCAGGAATGCATGTGCAACTAAATGTGAAAGGATTGATTGCGTTTGGTGAATTCCTCACCGAGTTACATTAAAAATGCGAATTTTGCAATACCAATAGTTATAAACAATAAGAAAAATCATTTTTGCAAATTGATCAACTTAAAAACGAGTCCGGCAGCAAAATGTAAAGGGTTTCATCGATTTCGTCGAATTCACGTCGAACATACGTTAAAAAAAATAGTATAATTTTCGATAAAAAGTGCAATAAAGGGGTAAAAAATGGAAGTAAGTCAAATGTCTTTTTAAGCTTTTAAGAGGCAACGAAGCTCTACCAGATGCAAGAAGATTCAATCCGATTGGTCAATTCGTTTCGGAATAAGAAGCAATACAAAATTTTTCGGTTTTTTGCAAAAAAAAAAAAAACGGGTAGAAAATGAGAAATCCCAAAATTTTTTGGTAATGAGACCACTCCGAAGAGATGCTCTACAAGATGCAACAGGTTTCATCCCGATTGGTCAAGCCGTCTGAGCGCAATCGAGTAACATAAAAAAAATATATATATATACATGTCGAATTCAGTAACCTCCTCCTTTTCGAAGTCGGTTAATTAACTGTCACCAAGACTTCAGTATTGCTGTACGTCATAGTACAGCAGGAAGTAAGGTAAACCATATTTCTAAAGAATTCCAATAACTCCTACTAGTACATACATTATATACATACATATATGGTCAGCGTATAGTTATTTACTTGTCAAATATTTTTTATCAAACTTTTCCTTTTATACCCCACACTTGGCAACCCTCCTTTCCGTTCTTAGAAAAAAACTCACATCAAATACACCTGTTGCTCTCGCCTAACGTTCGAATGTCCTCTCTCTCATCTGACCTTAGTTAAGTGAACACGGTTTGTACTTGTAACACAAATTAAACTGCTTTTAAAAGAAGATTTTCTAGTAAGGTCCACAGTATTTATTTCCGAGGAGGACCCAAAATATAGGATATTGCAATATTAAGCAATGCTTCTATTTTGATAATAAGAGAATTATTGAAACAGAATTATAGGGAAACCTTGATATGCGATTTGGTTTTTTTCATCAACTTTTCAAATGTTAACATAAGTTCTCTTCAAGATGTATTATAGAATTATATAATTATAGAAAAACTGGAGTTGTGAAAACAGTGTGTGCAAAATGATAACATATTAACAATTAGCCATGTTTCACGGATTATATTCGAAACCTTTGATTCAAGTTAAATATGAGTGTTTTCATATCATTCGTAATATTATTATTCGAATTTATGTCATGCAAAATTCAAAATCCAAAATCGCTACAAAATTTTACAAACTATAAAGCAAATTAGATAGCATTTGTCAATATTGAATGTCAACAGATCGAATCGACCATTTCACAATACTCGCTAAATACTTTTAGTACATTTTATTCTATATTTTATATCAGTCTAAGATTATTCCAAGGAATAGATTTTCTGAATCTGAAACCCAGAAGGAAAACATTAAAAGAAAGTTCGACATTAAATACCGACACAATGTTCGTGAAATACCTGAGGTGAAAGCTTCTAAAATTCTTTTGTAATAGGAGTCAATTCTATATTTAATGAATGCAGCAATACGAGTGACGCAACAGTGCCGCGTTGCACCCTTGTTATTTCTCGAAAAGCGTTTACTCGAGGAATTAAAGTTTCTCTCGACACGTTTCTCGATTGTCCACGTCGAATCTAGGTCAGGAAAGCGCAACATAGCCACGGAAGAAAAGTGCTGCGTCCCCTATAACGATTTTTCTTGCTTACACCGTTCCGTCGCCGAGACAAGACAGTTCTTCGACTTTTCATTCGAGGCGACGAACAGTCGCGACACGCAACCTTGCGAGTCGGTTCAACATTTAGCTGAAATCGATTCTTAATTGGATGACGCGATAAAAACTTTCATGTCTGGGTTAATAACGACGAGTCACATCATTTTATTACACTGTCTCTTGACCTACCACTCGCGTGTTGCTCGACCATCAAAGACTTCTAAAGACCCTTTCAGAAGTTGTAAATGGTAGAATGTATGTATATTTTTAATAGCAGGACAAACTTCCTTTTAATATATTTTTCTAATGATGAACAAGAGTAACGGCTGTTCTGGCAAGTGACGATTTTCTACGAATAGGACGTTATTTATTATGATTGAAAATCTACTTTAGATGTTATTTAGATGTCCCTTTGGAATGTATAATTAATACTATAAAAGATGTTAGTAAAATTTTATAATGTGGATCACAGGAGGACATATGTATGTATATATATAATCCTCTTCTCATCCTCCGTCAAACTCCAGCAGCAAACATTCCAAATTTCTTCCTTCGATAACTGATGATTTCATCCTGACTAATCATCCCGGACCTCGACCTCGCTACCTCTCCTTTGCCGACCACTAAACTTAAGATAATTCCTATCCTTCCATTTTCTACCTTTCCCGCTGATATGTATACATATAATTCATAGAATTTATTGAACAATATGTATACACCTCTGTATTATACATATATGTATTTCGTAAAACATTAAATTCGCTAATCATTATTATTTGAACATTACAGTAATTCCAATTATGTAATATTACGAATATACTGAAAATGAATTGAAATAAACTGAATATATCAAAGTAAAGTCTCACTCGTTTCTGAAGAAGGACTCATTGTCTGACTTAATATAATTAATATAACTCCAATTTGTATACGCTATATTATATACTTTTAACTAGAAAATTTATAATAACTATATCTCGTAGTTCTTAAAATAACTTGATATTTATACAACTTGTGCCAAGACTATAACAATGCCCAATGTATTTTCATAAACAAGCTATCATTCCAATCAAGTAGTATAAGTATATATGTGGTCAGACGCTCATCAAGGAAAGTTTATGAGAATTCACGAATAAACCTATTATTGAAAGTTTTATCCATTGCTATTACACTTCTTACACATAATGTTGTATTCCGCTCGATTCGTTACTTTGTTATTTAACAAGTACAACGTCGAGCGAAATTGAATGAAGTTAACAAAGGTATACGCGTGGTACTGGCTATAGATCCTCGTATCAAGATGGTTCGAACAATTCTCTGATTCAAAGGGAAAAGTAGTGGGCTTTATAAGTTCGGGAAAGATAGAAAATTATCTTAAGTTTAGTGGTCGGCAAAGGAGAGGTAGCGAGGTCGAGGTCCGGGATGATTAATCAAGATGAAATCATCAGTTATCGTAGGAAGAAATTTGGAATGTTTGCTGCTGGAGTTTGACGGAGGATAAGAAGAAAACAGAGTGATCTTAACTAAAGCTAATACAAAGATTATGTTGGCATACAACAATAATTTAAGGTGAAATTTATAATAATGTTTTAATTTAGATATTTCCTTGTTGTAAAATTTTAACAATGATTCTGAGTGAAATTCTACAAAGAAATGAAAATAGGCTGATACAATCTATTGTTTAATAAAGGATGCTGTCGCTTACGAAAACAACTAGATTTGTGATTACTAGAAAATATGGTTTTTCGTATTTCCTCGAAAAAAGAGATTTGTAAACTATTCATGTTTTTGTAAGAAATACACGTGATATGAACATTTCTTTAATACTCTGTGTCATGTCGAAATTCATGTAATATCTTCCTAGTATGAGATAGTAATATTTTTAGTGAAATTGATTTTCAATAGCATACTATAATCAAATCTCTAGTGACTGCATTAATAACGATGAGTCACATCATTTTATTACACGGTATTTTAACCTTCTGGTCGTTGTTCGAATACTAAAGACAGGCTTTTACAGGCTTTTCAGAAGTTTTAAACGGTAGAATATTTTTAATAGCGGGGTAAACTTCCTTTTAATTTGTTTTTCTAATGAGGAAATAATAGCTGTTCTTGTAAGTACGAATTTTCCAAGAATATAAAGTTGCTTATTATGTTTGGAAAATTAATTTAAGTACTATCTACATGAATCAGTCCAATGCAAAAAAAAATTGTACAAAGACTGCCATCAAAATTATAACGTAACACATGTAAATAATACGTGTTATAATCTTATACATTTGTATTTCGTAATACTTCGAAAGAACAGATCATTACAGCTTGAATATTCCAATAATTTCAATTATGCAATAGTAGGAGTAAACTGGAGATGGATTGAAATACGTAGAATATTCCAAAGTAAAGATTCGCCATTTTCAATGTCATTTCATCCTGTTTTAGCAAACGAAGAATTTCATTTTAACAATTGCACGCTCGATTTCATATTAAATCGACTATACTGTTACTATTTAGGCACCACTTATTATTTCAAATAATATTTAGCCCAGGTGATTGGTGAATATTACCTAATAGCAAGAGCTAAAATTCAATTCGACATTGATAGCAATATTTGCTGTGCATGTATGGCAAATAGAAGAAGGTAAAAGTAACACATCATTATGTCTTCGACTATAATTAAGCGGCTGGTGTCCGTTTTTATTCACCCCTATAAGAAAGGTATAGGCGGAAGAAAGGTTTGATCGATGAGAAGAAAGGGCAATAATGTCGGAAGTAATTACTGGAGAGAAAAGGTAAATGGATGGAGGATGAAAGGAGACTAATCAGTTATCAGGACGGAAAGGGTCGAATGTGGTAGTAATTTTTACTGCTGGATTTCGATGTAATCCTTAGGCTTGAAAGAACCATTCATACACATTTGGAGAAATTCGAGACCCTTCCGATCTTTTAGCAAAGCCACTTTAATGTCTTTTCTCAGAAATTTTTTGCAATTTTTGAATGCAATATTATAAAGCTTTATAAACATATTTTCATATCTTCTATTACAGTTCCGCAAAAAATTGTCATAATTCAGCTTTCTTCCGGCGTTATCCCTTAAGTTTCCAATCGATAAAGTTACCTTTTATATTTTACATATTTAGCAATATTGAGAGCCAAGATACAATCAATATTAATGACAAATATTAAGATCCTATATAAGTTAGTATTATAAAAGAAATTGAAAATATCTGTATTATTTCACGAGGTTATTACATACAGAATATGACGAATTCTTGATCAAATTAACTCAAAAGAAAAGTAAAAAGTTTGTTTTGCTTTGCTATGGACCTTATACATAGTATGCTACTTTTCAAGTCTTTCCGTGTTCGAAGAAGCTCCACCAAACGCGCTTTAATGTCCACTTATTCGCGCGAGCGAGCAGCAGAAAATGAGGAAAGACGAAAAGTGGAAGGGAGAGAGATGAAGAGAAAATGGCTTAATCGCGCTAATCTTGTTTCTAACGCCGATTCGGATTCAAAGGGATACTGGTTGCCTTTTCGACGCGACGTAATTACGTTCCACGTAGGGTGGAAGTAAATACTCGAATTAGATGATTAACCAGGCGAGCGTACAACGAAGGAAAATGTAAGTGGTGCTGCAACTGCTAGTTTGATTGCTGACGAGATTGATATTGTAGGGACTAATTGGAAGTTTTAGTTTTCAACATGAGAATCCCAACCTCGAGAAGTTCAACTCGTGCCTCTTCTTACAGTTTGTTAAAAATCAATATGTATTTGCAACAAACAGAATCTAGTCTCTGGATTGGGATATCAATTCAGGTTTGTCAGTCGATTGAACGGATTGTAACAAAAAATTGAGTTATACTTATTGCGAATTTTTGTAGAAAGAAAGTTGTTGGGGATACGAATAACTAGTAAAGAATGTCTTCACTGATAATAAGATCAGAAGCTTAATCCTTTGACTGTGGGACGATTTTTGCTGGAAATTTTAAGAGGCGTAGAAGTCTGAATTTAAAAAAAATTCTTCTAACTTTTGAATTTTTATTCTTGAAACTAAGCGTTTTATGAATCAACTGTAAGTATAAAATAGTTTTGTTTCATCATCCCTTATAAGCTAATATTTTTTAAAAATTGATTTAACGAACATAAACATTTCTCTGAGTCCATTTCTCGAGGACGTATATATGTATACGCTCTTCGCAGTCAAAAGGTTAATAATTTAAAAATGTTTATCTGTTTTTAAGGCTTTGTGAGTAAACAACCCTTTATGATGTTTTTACAAGGCTTTAAGAGCACTTAGATTTGGCTTTTTCTCATAAATTCATAGAAATGGTCTAAAATCACATGTTGTATCACAATATTTTTACAATTCATCGGTACCTCTGAATTGAATTATGCGTTACAGTTACGGTATAGTTGATTATAGAACATTGCCAGATTAGATGAATTTATATGCAGATTGGAATTAATATAGAATATTATCAAACTAAATAGAATTATTAATATGCAGTTTTGAATTAATATCGATTATTATCAACTGCTAGTTAAATCAAATTGAACTATTTATATACAGGTTGATGTGAGAATGAACAGAAGCTATTATTAAATTAAATGAAATTCTTCATAGAAATGTAATCAGTGTATGCAGTATTATCAGCTAAAAAGTCAGAATAATTAAAATGAAAATGACACCGAGTTTGAAGTACTTGATTACCTACATACATACATATGTGCATTCCTGGGAATATTCATATGAAACAGCTGTTGCTTACAAAGGAACACACGTGTAACGCTTCAGTCGGAGATTAGGATTATTAAAACGAATGTAATTATAATGATGGTGCTTACTGTTGCCGCAGTGTTCCTCCAGTCCGCACTGAACGCATCTGTCCGGCGATGCTGCACCACAACTGCATCCTCCTGACGGGACGCAGCACGCGCACTCGTTGCTGGACGAATTAAAACTGCAGGGGCACCCTTTCGTCTTTTGTGTCCAAAGATCCACTTGACCTGGAACTAGACACGAGAAACGTTTAGAAAACAGGCTTCACGGGGCCTCGTGCAAGACTGGCCATTAGGACATTGTACACGCGACGCACGTATTTCATAAAGAATCTCTATCAAGAGAAGGAGAATATCCCTAGAAGACGATTTCGATAAGTACATGGAATGCGATTTTTATAGAATTTTTCTGATTCGTAGAACATCCAGAAGCAGGACTATGTAAAGGATTTTTAAAAGAAACTTCAAGCATTTGTTTCTTTTTTAATCTAAAGATTCTTCCGCAACTTACACCTCGTATTCATATAAATAAACAACCTCGCCTCTTAAAAGTTGATGTTATCCTTGTTGCATATCCTTGTTGAAGTTATTAATTCAAGGAAGTAAAGTTTTCAACTGGTCAAATTGAAGAAAACAATCAACACAAAACGACAAAAATTACCGAACAGACGAGACATTGTTTTCCAGCAGGATAACTCCAGGTCCCACATTTCTTTAGTTGATAGAATAAAATTGTTAACGTTTCACTGAAAAGATCTACCTGTTTCTTCGTACTCTCCGGATATTGCTATATGTGGTTATCATTTATTCCTTTCGTTAAAAAATTCTCTTTGTGATGAAAAGTTCAATTCTATAAATGACATACAAATGTACTTGGAACGTTATTTTGGTACCAAAGCATACAATTTTTAGAAAGATGACATTATGCTGCTTCCAAAGAGTTGGAGAAAGGTAATAGAGCAAAATGCATCGCGTACAACTCAGTAATGTAACATAAAATATAAAATATTGTGTATGTATTGTTTATGAATAAAACGAAAGAAACTTTTGGAAACTTATTCGATTTTTTTTTCATTATAAATGAAATTAATGATTAAAAACTTAAACTCTGAAGTACTTTTATTTTTTCAACTGCAGCATACAAGTTCATGGGGCACTGGCAGCTGCAATGATACAACTTGCAAAATTATGTCAAGACAAATATTAATAACAATACCAATGATTCGAAAAGGAAATCTCTAAATTAACTTCGTTCTGCATTCATCATATGGACATCCAGAGTTTCACTGTTCACATGATATCTTGCCAAACATTAAACACGGAAGATTAAGTAGAATTATTTCAAATCGCCTTATAAACAGCATTAACGTTCCATTAATGTCGAATCGCTAATTCACGGTTCAAATATAATCTCCCAAATGGCGGGCGTTGGTATCCGATTAAATTTTTCAACTATTTACCCAACACTGTTCTACGTGAAAGTGGAGGGAAATGCGCGAACGCAACTGTGGCAGTTAATGACTACAGAATCTATGTAGTTTATAATATATCTGAACCATCTGGGTTAAGTATAATTTAAATTTGATTATTTTCCATGACTTGCTGTCGAGATACAACATTAATACTAGAAAGTATTATACAGTCCACGTAAAATAAAGGGAAGTTTAAGTTATTATTTTGCTAGCTTACAATTTGTTATAAAATATAGAATCTTAAATGTTGCGATTTTTGCTTGTTTGATAATGAGATATAATTTCTTGCTAGCGTCAAGATGGATTCTTTGTTGGAATATCCTTTCTTTCAGGTGGTCGAGTCGTGTTGCATTGTGATAATTGTATGTAGTTTTACTTTTCAATTTTCAAATCGAATTGCTAATTCCTAAAGATCCGAGAAAAACGTGGACCTACAGTCAGTTCCATTTGCACCTTCTATGTATACCGAAGAACCGTGCTTAAACTAAATGATGGGTTTGATGTTTCCAAATAAATGTTCCATTATAAATGTATACATGGTTAAATTATACGTATGTATATATTAGGTTGTCCCAAAAGTTTCTTCCGTGACTTGCATTCAGTTGTTTTGTGTAGCAATGTTTATATAAATAGACGACATAATTTTTTAGATGTTAATGTTGTTACGGTAATGGAGCAAAATTAATCGTACAGAATTCAATAATGTAGCATTAGACATAAAATATTGTGTATGTATTACTTATTAATGAAACGGAAAAACTTTTGGAACAACCTAATATATATAATGAAAAATTTCTTTGGAAACTTCAAACTTATCATTTATTTTAGATAAATTTCTCCAATAGACATAGAGGGTACGATTAATTATGAGACTGACAGCAGTGTTTGGAATAATCGTAAGCATAATTACGATTACGATTGTAATAAAATGTTTACGAGTTGTGATTACGATTACGAGTGTAATCACATGTTTCAGAGTTGTGATTAATGTCTGTTGTTGTGTGTATCATTTGTCAGTTTCTTGAGAAATTCACCTAGGAAAGTAACTCTGGAAAAATTGCATGTCGAGACAGTAACTATGATATCTTCTGATCTATTTATCCGAAACAAAAAATCAAATACTCAATTCACTGAAAAAGATTCAATGAAATAATTGCAAACACCTTTTGGAAAATAATAATTGAAAAAACACCCTTTTCGATTTCTTGGCTAGGAATAACCCCTTGAAGAGAACACATTACCATCGGTAAATAGAGTATGGATAGTTTTACATATTCTGATGAAATACCAGTTTCACGATTCCTTGAGAGATCGATTCTTCTTTCTTTTTAGTATAGACTACAGCGATGAGGCAGAGTGGAAGCAGTTCTCTAGGCTCTGGAGCCCAGTTTGAACATTCTTGGCGTAAGGTGACTGAGTGCGTGCCGAGTCGTATTTCCCTTCATCAAATACCGATACGAATCGCAGTTCAAACGATTTTCTCTTTTCACGATCCTTTGTCATATGCTCCTCCCTCGATCCGCATTCCGTCTAACATTCCAACCGTGGTATTACATTTTTTTTTCACCCTAAACCTCTCGCTCCTCTGTTCTGTGCTTCACGCCACTGCTCGCGTTTTTCTTTTCCCTCTAACGATGTCGCGTCCCAGGACACCGATAAATAGAAATGCAATGAAAAACGGAACAGGAGGCGGAATATAACCCCCTGGCGGCCGATTGCTCATTGTTTTTACTTGCTCGACGACCAACGTGTCCGTTTTTCTTTGAACTTTCGCTGCCACCGTGCGCTAGGCACGTCGACTTCGCGCAAATCCCACAGTAAACGAATCGGGACAATTAATAATCTGTCATTTTATCCAGATAGCTAACAATGGTTCTGTAAGCTTATCTTTGTACACGAGTTTGTAGATATCGCAAACACAGATGATATTGGCAGCTGCAGGGATACATATTTTAAACGAAATCTCATTCTTTGAACTTTGAGTCGAAATGCATCTGAATGATGTGTAAGGGGAAACGCGCACAAGAATTTTATTTTAAGGTTGAAGTATATATTTTAATCTATAACAAAGTGCAAGTTTGCAGTAGAAGTATAAATTTAATATATAAATAAGTTTGTTAAGATATATAAAAAATTATCCTTCCAAGTGATCGTTTTTCGTTAATAGAATAACAACTAGTCTTTGTCCATTCAGTAGAAGTTGACATCTTACTACTCAATAATTTGTAATAATAAATAAGTCAAACGAAAAAATCACCTTTGTTTTCTACACTTTTATGAAGATTCAATGGTTAAATCGTATAAAAGTATATTCAAATCTACTTAAATTCTCAATGCACTTCATACAATAAAAGTTTGAAGCTGTATTTTGTCTGTATAGTTTTCAGGTTGAACAGCACAATAAATTAACTTCAAGTTTGACACAAATAAAGCGAATGTCCTATCGTAAAAATCAACTCGATATTTGAAAAAGTTTCTTATTCGTCGTTTGAAAAAACTACGACCAATCGCTCGAGGAAGTTTGTTTCTGTCCATGAATTTGCATCCACTATGGACAGGAAACTGGCAATTGCAGTGATGCATATGGGTGCATGAGAGGGACGTACTCAGATTTTTTTGCAGCCACTACTGCAAGAAACCAAAATATCTCTGCAACTGATAGGAGTTTAACGAGTGGAAAGAGCTCGCCATAAAAAAGTCAGGGGAGAATAAAATCATACATAGATTTTCAATGGTCGAACGATTTCGCTGGCGCTTTTTCATACACGCCGATGTAAAATCAGACTCGAAACCCCGAGCAGATATTTGAAAAGTGGTTCGCTTCTTCAAATTAAATAGACATAGGCATATTTAATGAAACGTTCAGCTCGAAAGCATGATTCATTTCACGATAATTTTTATATGGATGCATCGATGGGAGTGTAAATTGGAATCTCGTAAAGGCATTTCGCATGCACGAAGCGCGTTTGCAACAAAAAATACAAAGTGCCTCTCGTCATGTATTCATGTTTCACGGTGGATTAATATTTTTATGAGCGCCATGACGGAACAGAAGTAGTCGATTTATATTAATTCATTACAGAGTTCGATCTGAAAGTGATTCCACTTTCAATTTCTGATTTAATGTATTTTTGGTATTTAATGAGAATGGCTATATTTTCGATTGTTTCAGTTTGCGAATATACAGCTGTGGCTCAAATTATTCGAAGCATTAAAATCATGTAATCAACATGTTAACTTGTATTACTGAATGCGTATGAAATATATACATTCGCTTTCTTTACACTTTTAATCAAAGATACATATTTTATCCAGTATTGGCAGGCCTTTCTCGATTCGGAAAACCCTCCTTTCTCTCTCGATGTTTCTAATGATTTAATCAATGTCTATACAGTTATACACACACTTCAGTGAATAAAATATTCGACGAATTTACTTTGAATGTTTGAATATTCAAATACTTTCTACACTTATGAAGTGTCCATTTGAGGATTAATTAAAGTAAGTTTTACGAAAGTAAATAGTTAATTAATTAATATGTATAGAAGTTTCGTATAAAGATAAAAAAGATGTTTCTTTGACGAAATTAAAAAATTGCACGTTTTACGATTTTATGACGGCGCTTTTAACTGGAAATTGTGGTTTATAACTGTCTACTGTCCAACTGAATAAATTGTGTCAAATATAGAGCTCTTTTTTGCATATACCTTGCATTCAGCTTTTATTTTATATATTTACTTTAACTACGCTCTGTTTTAGGAG